ACCACTATAAGAAGGCCCAGCTACTGCTTGCTGCAGGAACAGAAGTTTGCCTTCTTATCATGGAATGCTTTTTGAGGCCATTACCTTTGAAGTTGATACATAAAACACAAACAAATCCTCAACAAAACAAAAAGTTGGGAAGTACAAATACTAAAGAGATGTAGCTTGTTTATAGGAAAGTAAAAGATAATGAGAATACATAACTTTATAAACTCAGGTTATGCTTAATTGCAAGCAATTAAAAACTTTCCCTTTTTGATTGCTTTTGAAATATGGGATAAAAAGAAAAAGTGAGAATGCCTGCAGGTTGCGTGTCCTCGAATTGCTTTGAAATGAAGTTGGTGGGTGTCAGAACAAATAAATCTCAAACAACTTGTGATTTAGTTTTATAGGCACACATTCATAAATTGGATTTTTCAGCAATTCCAGAAAAGCACACACAGGAGAAGCATTTGCAACATATTCATTTATTCCACAAAGATTTAGTGAGCACCCATATGCTCAAGCCTCTGTTAGATCTGGGGGTGAGGGAGATAAGAGGATTTAAGTAATGCCTCTCATACTTTCAGAAGGGGAGGTGTGCTAAGAGAGGTATGGAGGATGGTTCTGGGAAGAGAGGGCCTTCTGATGGGTGATCAGGGGAGGCTTTCTGGAAGAGGTGGCATTTGAGCTGTTTACTGAGAGACGACTGTTCATTCTCTTTGACTAGTTTGTTTCATGTTAACACCCTTGAGTGGTCTGTGTCTTGACACTGTTTACTTATTTGATTTTCTGATGCTCTGTTATCTGAGAGCAGCTCCTATTCTCTGCCGGCACTTTCTATGATTCCTGTGTATCCTAGGTCCTCTGTTCTTTTTCTTCACTTCTCTCTTAGAGATACCATTTCCTGAAACAGCCCTGTGTATTTGCCTACACAGTTGGCCCCAAACCCAGAGCTTGAGATCCAGTTGTCTCTGAACCTCCACCCTGCATTTCCAACTTGAGGTCTCACCAGGAGCTTATCTGAATCTGAGCTCTCTCTAACAGTACACAGTCCCCTCCCTCCTTTCCTCCCTTGCCCACCCACTGAGTGCCCACCCACTGAGTGCTAGGTGCTGGTTGATCATTCTTCTGATTCCTCTGGCTCAGAGTCTCAGAGCCATTTTTGTTATGTCTCCCTGCCAGTCATGTTTAAATAATCATTTTATTTCTGTTCATTTTTTACAATATGTTTAAAATTTTTAGTTCTCATGTCACCTTAGTCCTGCCTGTTGTCTGCATTCTTGGATCCCTGCAGTGGTCTTCTAAATATCAGTCATCTTTCTTTCCATGATTGACATCACCAGGGCTCACTGCCTGCTAGCACACTTACAATGTTGCTGGGATACCATGTTCTGTGGGTTGAAAAATGGAGTCATGAGGGAGAGAAAACAAACCTGAAATGATAAAGGAGCCCATGTGAACTGATAAGCCCTATGGGAGAGTAAGCAGTGCAGAGTGACATCTGAGGCAATTGGAGGATGCTGAGGCCACGGCCTGTGGAAGTTGGGAACATAGGCATTTGAGAAGGCTTTGTCAGGGGTTGTAGAGAGGTAGACGGCAGGCCTGTGGCAAACGTGGGAGAAGTTGGAAGCCATAAGGTGTGATGGGAGAGCCATGAGTTGAAGAGTTCAGCTGGGACTAGACTTGACAGGGCTAGCATGCCAGCGTGAGGGAGCTGAGCTTTATTCTGTAGAAGTGAAGAAGGGGAGAGTAGACAATTGGGGAGGATGGCATATATGGAAAATACTGTTTGAAAGAAAAGCTGGAGATGCTGTGAAGGAAAGGGAGGCCAATATGGAGAATATGCAGGAGTCTAAGCTGTGACGTTTTCTTTAATTCATTCAAAACATGGGGGCTGCCAGATTAAGTTTCTAAATCATGACTTTGATCATACTACACTTCTGCTGAAATGCCATTGGTGATTCCTCCCGGCATGCGAAGTGGTTCTTCAGCTGGCATTAGGAGGGCCTTGTCATCACGTCAGCCCGCCCTTCCAGCATTGTCTGCAGCTCCTCGCCTTCAGAAACCAACCAATGACTTTCACACAAATTACATTTGCTCACAGTGATCTCTCTTTCCATTTTCTCCACTGCTTGGGAAATTGTCCTGGTTGAAATTTCTCCCAGCCTTCAGTGTACTCATAGGTACTTCATGGCCCTCTCTGCCCGAGTGCTCTCAGCCCCCTTTGAAACTCCTCTAATGCTTACCGTCTGTATTGTTCATTTTGATGATCAACAATTGACATGATTGCTTCTGTAGCTGCTAAAGCTGTTAATTAGTACCCATATTGTTGGTTGTATGTTTTAATGTTTTGTTTCTCCAACAGTCTATCACCTCCTTAAGGGCTGGGATTGGGTTTGGCCCTTTTGTAGCTGGCTATAGCCATCATACTTTCATCCAATATGAAAATACTAGCCCCATTCATGGGATTTTGAACATCATAGTATTTGCTGACCTTTGGTTTTGTTTTAACCTGTCCAAACAATCAGGAAGATTACGGAAGACTCTAAGGCCCCAGGGGGATAACAGATTTGAGGATCTCAGCTTGCTCCAGGGTAAGTGATCCTTCGCTGATCACAAGGAAAGTGACGAATATCGTTTTGCCTCAAGTTGGACAGCGGATTCCTAGCTCTACTTGCAATGGGGTCCTTTTCCCAAAGGGAATAGCCTAGCTTGATCCTAGTCTCTTGAGAGAATTGTCCCTGAAAACCCAGGATATGATGTCAACTAAGTTAAACTTTTTTGATCCTAACTGTCTAGAAATAGGTTAAAAATGGATGTTTATACTTTGCTGTTAAGTAGGTCAAAAAACTGCAGAAGCAAATTAGCCTTCTATGGATCAGAGAAATAATTGGAGGAACATAGGTTAACAAGAACTTAAAGGCAGGAAATCTTTGGCTAGGAGTGTAATGTACTTGCCTTTTAGACAAAGACAGTGCATACCGAGGATTCTAGATTAGTTTTCTTTCCACCTCCCAGGTTGAAAATCTGGTGGGCATAGAGATAGTGGCTTTATGGGATGTGGGCTGGCTCTAAGCCTTTCTCTGGGGAGCCTGGTACACCAGTTCTACAGTAATGGGAAACCTTATTAATTTGTAAAGGGTGATAATTGGGACTGTAAGTCAGCTGAAACTTGCCTATATGTTATGCAAAGAAAGGGCCAGAAATAATTAATAATATAAGCCAGAGAGCTGAGAGAATGTTCAAAAGAGCAAACATTTTAAGCTTTCTCAGCTCCTACAGAACCATTTATTTATGTGGAAACAGCTGACCTGCTAATTAGAAAACATCCTTGCCTATTCATTAAACCAATTATCCTGAAGAATTCTGCTAAGCAACACTTAGTCCTGTTCTAATTATTGTGTGGCTTTGAGAGCAATAAATGTACTTTTAGAATAAAATTTTATAATGTAGACATATACATGGTTTAGTCAGACATTTCCCATAATTGGAGTGAGATAGTAAGGAGGGGTTATGCTTGTTTCTTATAAGAAGAATTTAACCACCTTCTCTTCACAGGGAGATTAGTGAATTATTAGATAATGTTATGTTTAGACCTGAGAAATCTTTGGAAATCATTATTGTCAAAAATGAGAGTTTTTTTTTTTAAGGTTATCTTTTTGGATTAACTTGGATCTTAAATAACTAAAAAAATTTCTAGGGAATAAACATCATTATGACTTAAGACGTTGATAAAGATTTTTTTTCATATACTCTGACATCATGTGTACATTTAAAAATAAAGTGAATTGGTTTTCATGCAGCCACTTTACTCTGTGTCTCCCACTTTCTCCTGCAGAGCTTTTCCTAGCGAGAACACTGGTTAAGAAACGTAGTAAAGGAACACACAGGGTCTACTCAGCGTTCTGCACATAATAGCAATTGTGTCAACAAACGAGCCGACCTCAAGTGACAAGCCGGTGCTGTCAAGGAGAACTTGGATTGGCTCTATCTAGGCTGGTGTCCAGATGGGGGCATACTTTTCAGGCTTAGGAGCATGTGCCTCGGAGGCCACTGTCTGGCTTTGAAAGCTCCATTCAACCCTCTGATTGGGCATTCTCCCACTGGGTAAGCTTGGACAAGTTACTTCAAGCCCTGTGCTTCAGTTTCCTTCTCTGTAAATGGGGGAAGCAATAGTCTCCAACACAAAAGGCTCTTGCCAGGATTAAATGAGTTACTTCGTGCAAAGGTGCTCTTTCATAGTAAGGGCTTCATCTACAGGTCCTTTCGCTCATTCATTCAGCCCTACCTATTGTACCCTGGCTATGTGCCAGACCCTGCTATGGAGACTGGTGTCGAGAGGTTAGCCATCAGGGGAGATCTCTGCCCTATTGGAGCATATACTTCAGTGGAAAGAGACAGATCATAAACAGGTAAATGAATCAACAAGTCCAGGTAGTAATAAATGTTACAAAGACAGCATATAAAGAAATGGAGTGATTGGGTTATGAGCGAGGTCAGCATTAGCTAGGGTGGGCAGGAGTGGCCTCTGAGAAGGTGACTTTTGATCTGAGGCCTGAATGACAAGAGACCAATGTCAGCTGTCCTCAAAATAAGAAAGTTTTCCTTTGTTTTGGTGGCTCTCTCCATACTCCTATATATATATATATATATATATATATATGCACACACAGACACACACACACACATACATATATATATATATATATATATATTTTTTTTTTTTTTTTTGAGATGGAGTTTTGCTATTGTTGCCCAGGCTGGAGTGCAATGGTATGATCTCGGCTCACTGCAACCTCTGCCTCTGGGTTCAAGCGATTCTCCTGCCTCACCCGCCCGAGTAGCTGGGATTACAGGTTACTTTTGTCCATAATCTTATTTTAAGCTGTCTTACATCAATATAAAAGTGTCCTTCGCAGCAGGACACTTTCAGGAGGTCTTGAGCCCTCTCCCACTAGCACTCGTCTGCCTTGAAACAAGTTGTTGCGAGTGTTGGTGGAGCTAGTTTTCCCCAAGCTTCACCTCAGCAGGACCCAGATCCTTGCATCCCTGGGCATCTCTTGCTTCCTCCCAGCTGGATGCTTGCCCACCTTGTTCTGCCTCAGTTTCTGGAGGAGCCTGACTCTATTGTTGTCCCCCAAAAGAAAGTACAGGACTGGGTTGAGGCAGCTGCTCACACTCACCAGAGGTCTCCATATCTTGTAGGCCACACTGGCTGCCATCAAGAGCTCACAGTCCTGAGAAAGCAGAAAGCGGATGATGAGGTAGAAGGAGCGAGTGATGTGGAAGGGCACAAAACAGAGGGCGAAGAGGCCGCACACCAGTAGGATGGTCCGGATGGACTTGGCTCGGGCTGTGCTGCCTGTCCTCATGAGGTTCTCCTCTGGCTTGGTCAAGCTCCTGACCATCAGTGAATAGCACACCAAAATGACCAAGGAGGGAAAGACAAAGCCAGACAACGTCAGAGCTATGCTGTAGGCAAAAAACCGATCAAAATTCTCTGGGTTGGTTGTGTCATAGCAGATCATCTGGCCATTGATGTAATCGGTGTGGGAGAAGGCCAGTGTGGGCAGCAGCTGGAGGACCACCAGGGCCCAGGTGGCACCGGTGCCCAGCCAGGCATGCCTGCGGGTCCGGTAGGGCAGGGAACGCAGCGGGTGGCACACACCTAGGAAGCGGTGCACAGAGATGCAGGTCAGCAACAGGATGCTGCCGTAAAGGTTGGTGTAGAACAGGAAGCGCACCAGCTTGCACAGCAGATCTCCAAAGGGCCACCTGTCATCTAGTGAGTAGGTGATGATGAGGAAGGGCAATGTCAGCACGTAAAGCAGGTCGGCCACCATCAGGTTCACCAGATAGATGGTGGCACAGCTCCAGCGCTTGGTTTGGCACCAAGAGAGCCACAAGACAGTGCCATTGAGGGGCAGCCCTAGGATAAATATGATGCTGTAGGTTATGGAGAGGTAGACTTGCTTGTACTTCTCTGAGAACTGACATAGACCTTGTTCCTGTGAAGTGTTCATGTCCAGCTTCTCCATGTCCCAGGAGGCTCTCCCGAGGAGCAGAACTCCACGACAGCTCCTTCTTCGGCTTCCCCTGGAAGGAAACAAAATGGACAGCATAGCATCATGACCTCAGCCTGGCGTCAGCCTCTGCCTCAGCCTGGCATTCAACTTTGTCTGCCCAAGTCTAGTCAGAGGCTTTGTTTGAGAGAGACCAACTCCAGGAAAATAGAGTATTAACCAAGTGCCAAACAGTCTTTCAAAGCTGGGCTTCTAGACTTACCAGGTCCAAAGGGCTGGCCTCACATGGACTTGTATGTTCTCTGCTCTAGGCTGGGTTGTGATAGGAATGGTCATAGGATGGCACTGTGATTTAAACAGGGTACTCAGAACCTCCAGCTCTGTGGCTCCTCCTCCTGCTAGAATCCTTTGCATAGAGTCAGGAAATCTCAAGGGGGAGATATTCTAGCCAGAGAAGCTGGTATATTCCCAGGGGCCAAAACTGCCCACAAGTTGGTCCTAACCACACACAGCATAGTAGAGTAGAAAGTGATCCTTGGGGATTAGAGAGGATTAGGAAAAGCACAGGTTTTGCCTACAGTCTCTGTTGGAGGATTTGGATTTGTATCTCTTTCAGGATTTCTTAACCGGGTATTTGAATACTGGGGCTGATTTGCTTATTAACCATCTTAGCATCCGAGCAGCCAAGAAAACAAATCTAAGCCATGAAGCCAGGTGCAGCTTCTTCCTTAATCCTTCCTTGCTGACAAAGTAGATGCAACAGGTGGGCCCAAGTAGTTAAGGAAGCCGCGTGCGGAGCGTGAAGGGGAGCCAGCGTGTCGGCCAGCCAATCAGCATGGAGCCACAGGAACAGACGTTTAATTCTAGGGCTTCACATTCGAAGCTAAACATTTAGAAAGACAGGTTAAAACAAAGGAAGAGAAAAAGGCATAAGTTAGGTAATTTTGGGATAAATTGAGTGTTGCCTGCAGACTATAATATAGAGAGAACCAAAGAAACAGAGACTTCATTCACTCAATCAGCAAACGTTGATTGAGCATTTGTTGAGTCAGGCCCTGGGGACATGAAGATGAATAAGACACAGCTCGCTTTTCAGGAATTCGCAGTCTGGTGGGGAAGACATAAATGGAAATGGCTAATTGTAATATGATGTGAAAAATGGCCAAGAAAGTGCTGTGAAAATCAGCAGGATGCAGCCAATTCTTTCCTGAGGAAATTGAGTGCAGGCTTCTTAGAATACGCAGCCCTTGAGCTGCTTGGGAGAAGAAACGTGAGCTTGTCAGCAGAGATGGGTGGGCGGCACTGCGCAGGCTGAACTGCACACCCGTGGGAATGGAAGCCAAAAGGGCACAGTGTGTCCAGGGAGGGCAGGAGAGTCAGCAGCTGTAAGGAGGCTGCCTTTAGCAGGATGGTGATGGGATAAGGCTGCCGTGTTGGTTAGTTTCAGGTGTCTTCTTGACTGGGTTAAGGGAGACTCAGGTACCTGGTAGCGCATTCTTTTTGCATATACCTTTGAAGGTGTTTCTGACAGATTAGCGTGTGAGTCAGTGGATTGAGTAAGGAATATCCACCCTCACCCAGTGTGAGCGGGCACCATCCAATCAGATTGAGGGCCTGGATAGAAAAAAAAAAAAAAAAAAGCAGAGGAAAAACGAATTCATTCTTTCTACTGGAGTTGGGACACCCTTCTCCTGCCCTTGGACGTCAGAACTCCAGGTTCACTGGCCTTTGTTCTCCGGAACTTGCACCATCTGCACTCGGTTCTCGGGCCTCCAGCCTCAGACAGTTACACCACTGGCTCCCCCGATTCTCTGAGGCCTTTGGACTCCAAATGTGCCACACCACCGGCATCCCTGCTTCCCCACTGGCAGACAGCATATCCTTGGACCTCTTGGCCCCATAACTGCTCAAGCCAACTCCCGTAACAGATCTCCTCTCCTGTATCTGTATAGGAGACATAGGTGGCAACATGGACCTGGGCCTGGAACAGAGAGAGACTGCTCAGACCAGTGTGGGGCTGTTGCCGTACATGCAGGTGAGAGATGACCAGTATCCCAAGCAAGGCCGTTCGGGGTCGATGCAGAGCAGGAGACGCTGCTGAGGCAGGAGTGACAGGCCTCATTAGATGTGAGGCATGAGCCAGATGAGTTGAGGGTGTCTCTGAGCTCTACAGTGTTGGGGACTGTGTGGGTGGTGAGGGCCTGAGAGAGCACGAGGCTGAGGGCTGGCGTTCTGAGGTTGTGGGGGATGGTGTCTCTCCATGCCTCAGCCTGCTGAGGGGCTCACCATCCTGCTCCCTGGCTTTAACATCTGGAGAGCAAAGCTTTTATGGCTGGGTAAGAAAGCCATTTTCATTCATTTTGTACCTTGTAATTTGTTCATGCTGTGGGGCTGGAAAATGCTTAGTCATTTCTAGTGAAGCTGCCTTCCCACCTCAGTGTCGGCTCTCGGAGGGAAGCCAAGGCAGGAATCCAGCCATGATTTAGCACTGGCTTCAGTCTGGCAGTTGACACACGATCTTACTTACTCCTTAGAACAATGTTGTGAGCAAAACATTATTACCTCTGTTTTATGATGAGGAAATTGAGAGTCAGAGAACCTTCTAGGGCCCATTAGGACCCTTAGTCTAGCAGGCAGTACACTGATCTGGCCACAGGCTAATGCCCTTCAAAGGACTGGTTTGGGTAGTGAGAAGTGCTCATATCCTGCCTCTGCCAGGGACCAGTATGCCCTTTAAAGTACTCACCTTATCTCTGAGTCACGATTTCCTCAGCTGTAAAATGAGACAGTCCCTTTCTGGGGAGACTGCTGTGAGAATTACCTAGAAGAGAGGCAGGTGCCCCACAGGGCTGCCACAAGGGAGAGAACCAACACATTTTCTTTTCCCATCTCTTCTCTCTCCCTGTTTTAGAGACAGTGTACTCTGGAGCTCTTTGGTTTATGTGGCTGGGTGGGAGGGCAGGTATGGCTTTGCTATCCCAGGACTAGACAGAGTCAGTTTATTCTTGTCTGTTACTGTTTATGAACCCAGTTTTGTCCACCACCAATTCATATGCTGAAGCCCTAACCCCGGCGTGACTGTATTTGGAGTAAGAAAGTAATTACGGTTAAATGAGTCATAAGGAGGGGCCTAGTCAGATATCATTAGGGCTCTCATAAAAAGGGACACTGGCTGGGCACAGCAGCTCACGCCTGTAATCCTGCACTAAGGGAGGCCGAGGTGGGACGATCATTTGAGGTCAGGAGTTTGAGACCAGCCTGGCCAACATGATGAAACCGCATTGCTACTAAAAATACAAAAATTAGCCGGGTGTGGTGGCATGTGCCTGTAATCCTAGCTACTCAGGAGGCGGAGGCAGGAGAATCACTTTAACCAGGAGACAGAGGTTGCAGTGAGCCAAGATCATTGCACTCTAGCCTGGGAGACAGAGTGACACTCCATTTCAGGGAAAAAAAAAAAAAAAAAAGGGACACCAAAAAGCTTGCTCTCTCTCTGCCTGTAAACACATGGATTTAAATCTGTGAATTGGCCAGGCGCGGTGGCTCATGCCTGTAATCCCAGCACTTTGGGAGGCCGAGGCGGGTGGATCATGAGGTCAAGAGATCGAGACCATCTTGTTCAACATGGTGAAACCCCGTCTCTACTAAAGATACAAAAAATTAGCTGGGCATGGTGGCGCGTGCCTGTAATCCCAGCTACTCGGGAGGCTGAGGCAGGAGAATTGCCTGAACCCAGGAGGTGGAGGTTGCGGTGAGCCGAGATCACGCCATTGCACTCCAGCCTGGGTCACAAGAGCGAAACTCCGTCTCAAAAAAAAAAAAAAAAAAAAAATCTGTGAATTGACTTTAGCATTTAATATTTTATCTCCATCTGGAGAACTTCTTGAGCAAGTGAAGTCATTTGATGGAGTCTCATAAATGTCTTCAGACAATAGAAGTTTGTTTTACAAGTTTTTAAAGATAACGATTCATATGTACAATTCTTAATTTGCAAAGATGAACTAAAGGCTTATTTACATCACAGCATAATTATTTGATTTTTTAACAGGTTTATATGAGGGGGTGTCCCCTGGGTACAATTAATTAGGTGGTGGATTAAAGTAGCAGGTGGTTTATTTTGAATTAATTTTCCAATGTGCTTCAAATCCACCAGATAACTTGATGTTATTTGGCCACCTGACCACTAGGTGGCAATGAAGACCCACAGACAGGTTACAATCCCTCCCAACCCGCCCCACCCCCCACCGCCCCTCCACCTCAAAAATGGAAGTCAGAATTACCGTTGGGCTCCTGTCCAGGTATAGCCGCTGTGAAAGAGAAATAATTCATTGCGGACATATAAAAAAAATCCCACCAATCAAACTCTCCTATTGGTCTGTTGTCTACAGTTACTATGTTAGGTTCAAACAAAGAAGTGGAGTGCAGCCAGCTGAAAGCTGCCTGTTGAAATGATTCTTCAAACCATCCCGTGAGATAGGCATGGCAGGCACTGTTCCCCCATTTTACAGCTAAGAAAACTGAGGTTCAGAGAGTTTAAGTAGAAGTCATGTCTATAGTGATTTGGGGAAAGTGTGGACTTTTTACAACGCAGACACTTAGCAAGTTCTCAGATTTCCAGGGAATGTTTCTTACCTGCTTGTCCCTCCAGTGCTTCTCACCACCTGGAAAAAGAAAGATGTGGAAATAAAATAGCAAGTCATCTCTCAAGTCACTAGATATAGCACCTCTGTCATGGACAGAGCCCTAGCTCAAAAAGCATGATCTGGAGATACTAAAAAGAAAGATAACAATATATAATATTAAAAAAAAAACTGCCAAGAGTGAGACCCCTCTCCCATCCAGGTATTAACCCGGCCAAACCCTGCTTGGCTTCTGAGATCAGGCGCATTTACAGCTCTGGCTGTAGACACATAGCAACCCTACACTCAATTTAACACACACCTTGAGTCTGATCATAAAAGGCATTAATGTTAGCGTTTCAATAATTTTGTATTCTATTTTTACAATGCAGGCTT